CCTGCTGGGGGGAAGGCTGGGGTGAGCGAGCAGCTGATGGGTTCTTAGTTGCTGTCCGGGTCAGCCCAGCACAGGAACGCAATCCCTTCTGCCCCAATGTCTTCCATGCTTCTGTCACGTTATTAAAACTGTCTAAAGGTGTATACATTTTCAACCATTCTTTCTCCAAAATTTTTCTGTAAAAAAGTCCTAAATGCAGAATTTGGTACTTCATAATGAACTTCTCTAAAGAGCAGTGTGTGAGATAGTAAAGAAGAGATGTGAATGTAATTGTGGAATTATGTTGATTTCCATGGCAATAGACTATAGCGTCACAAATACAAGATTACAATGAACTGCAGGTGCAAAGCAAAAAGGGACTGTGAAGAAGAAATCTCTTTTACAATTGCAGATATTTGGAATAACACCAGCAAGAAAGAAAATGTATTTATACAAGAGAAAAAAAAACCAGCATGTTGCTGTTTTAGGTTTTCTCTGCACATTTTCTGGAATGTTTGCTAATTTGTTCCAGGAGAAAAAAAATCTATTAGAGGTTTGAGATATAAGGAGGCTTGATGGTTCAAGCTATGCTTCAAAGATTTAGAAGATTTGATACAAGGGAAGAACTTTGCCTAATACTGACAATCTGTCCAATACTGCCCTGTTGGAACAGACTATGTCATGGCACGTCTAAAAGAAAAGTGGGGATGGCTTATTCCAAAACTACAACCTCCTCCACGCAGTTAATTACTGTTGCATCTGATCCCAATCAATGGCTAGTAATAAGCTGCACACAATTCTGTTAGTCTGTTCAGATAGCTGTGCCATGTGTGGTTTTAGTGTATGTACTAGTACAGAATGCGAGGCCCCGTGAAAGATGCATTCCCTGAAAGGTGGCCTGGTAGCCGCGGCCACCCAGGTCAGAAGCAAAACTTGTATTAAGCGAAGAGATGTTAAATGCAGGACGCGATTCCTAGTGTAAAATAGACATTTACCTGCCTATTTACAGAAATGCACTTTTCTTCTGAGAGGCCTGCTAGATTGCTTAAGAGCTTCAAAGTGAAAGATTTAACTGGTATAGGAGCCTTCAAAGAGTGATCAGATAGAAGAGTTCAGATACTTCGCCAGAAGGAAGAGGCATGAGCAAAACCTGAAACCCTGACGCTCATCTTGGCACAATAAAAGCAGCAAGCCAGCTGAATCTGGGAAGAGAGACCTTTCTGGTATAACTTTAGGTAGACACTTGCACTTGCAGGAGAAGGAGACTGTCATAGCTATGGTTCTACAGACTAGAAGGCATTATACCTTCAGAGAACAGGGTGTAAGAAGAATAACTCACAGGAATTTAAAGCAAAAGCAAACAGACAGAGTGCGGACTGTTCTCTTCTCCTGGAAGAAAAAGTCAAAGTAGTTCAGTTGAGGCTCTCACTATCTAAAAAGACCTGACTACTGCATTAAAAATTTTCAAAACAAATTTTTTGCACAAGGCATACTCCCTCAATGCACATAATTTGCCGAACTTGAGACTGCACAAGCTATACACATTAATAATAATAATAATATACAATATTTTTTCCACTAACTAGATTTCAAGGGCAATTTATATGCAATGAATAAAAGGCTGTAACTGATTCTGAATAGGAATGAAAAGTGGTGTTTCATTACATCACATAATAAGATGTATATGCCATTTGGTGCCTTTTATGCCTTCATAATGTAAGTGAAAATTGACATTAAATCATTCCAACTGGTACATTATATGGAGTGAGAATTAGAGAATTTGTGGGGGTAAAAAAAAAAAAGACAGAGTTTTTTGGCACTGAATGGCTTTTCAAGAAGAACACAAGAAATGTCAAAAGCCATGGTGGGATGGCTTTACTCTGGGAGGCCATGGGAGTGCAAAACTAGTATAACAACAGAAAAAACTGAAGATCAAAGCTAACAGAGAAGATACCAACCCCTCGCAACAAAACCCACACTGAGACCACCGCTGAGAAGAAACAACAGTGAGCTATGGTCACTGGTGATTCCCTCCTGTGTGGAATGGAAGCACCATTTGCAGACTGGACCCTCTTTTCAGAGAAGTTTGCTGACTCCCTGGGGACCAAATTAGGGACATCAACACAAGACTGAAGAGCTTAGTATAACCACATGGATACTAATGATGTAGCAACAAAGAGCCTGAGGTTGATCAAAAGAGATTTCAGAGCTCTGGGAAGAATGCTAAAAAATTCAGGAGCACAGATAGTATTTTCCTCAATCCTCCCAGTAATGGGAGGGATATCAATATCTGGCTCCAGGACTGGTGCCTCTGCCAAAACTTTGGGTTTTTAAACCATGGAAGAGCCTTTGAGACACAAGATATGCTGGGGCCTGATGGGATCCATCTGTCCCAAAGGGGAAAATGCATCTTTGGGCATAAACTGGCAGGACAGATTGAGGGGGCTTTAAACTAGAGCTGATGAGGGAAGGGATACCAACAGGATTGCAGTAGGTAAGCATAACGGTTGGCATGGCATTGCCTGAGGGTGGCAATACCAGTGGCAATGCCAGTGACAACATTTGAACTGCTTCTGGGAGCATGGAGAGCTCAGGATCATATCTGAAATGCTTGTACACCAACGTACGCAGTATGAGAAGCAAACAGGATGAACTGAAAGTGCTGGTTAGTTTCCAGAACTATGATATCATTGGCATTAGTGAGACTTGGTGGAATGAGTCCCATGATTGGAGTGCTGGGATGGAGTGCTACAGGCTGTTCCGGAGGGATAGGCATGGCAGAAGAGGTGGAGCTATCGTGCTATGTGTAAGGGAGAGGTTTGATTGTACAGCCCTTACAGTTAGTGATGTTGTGGTTGAAAGCCTCTGAGTGAGGGTTAGGGGGATGGAAAACAAAGGAGATATTGTTGTGGGTGTCTACTACCAATCACCCAGCCAGGATGTAAGCACTGAGGAGTCATTTTACAGGCAATTAGGAGAAATTTCTGGATTGGTAGCCCTTGTCCTTACAGGAGATTTCAACTTCCTAGACATTAACTGGGAATATCATACTGCTGTGATGGACAGGTCTCGGAAATTCTTGAAGTTTGTAAGAGAGAATTTCTTGTCACAAGTACTCAGTGAGCCAACTAGGAAAGATGCCCTCCCAGACTTACTATTTGTACATAGAGGACTTGTGGGGGATGTGATGGTAGGTGGCTGTCTTGGCCACAGTGATCATGAGATGGTTGAGTTTAAAAAGACAGCAGAGTTGCTACCCTGGACTTCAGGAGAGCAAACATTAATCTTTTGAGGGAGCTATGTAGCAGAGTACTCTGGGAATCTGCTTTTGAAGACTTAGGCGTCCGCAAGTGCTGGTCAGTTTTTAAGAAGCACCTTTTAGAAGCACAGGAGCAGGTAATCCTGTTGTGTTGTAAGTGAAGCAAGTGAGGCAGAAGACCAGATTGTTGAACAGGGAACTCCTCATGGAGCTCAAGAGGAAAATGAAATTGTATGATCTCTGGAAGCAAGATAAGGCTCTGCAGGAAGATTACAGAGCTGTGTTTCATATATACAGGGAGAAGACATGAAAGGCCAAAACTCAATTAGAGTTGAACCTGGCCAGTGTTGTGTCAGATAACAAGAAGGGCTTTTTAAAATACATTAATAGCAAGAGGAGGTCTAAGGAAAACATTGGACTGATATCTGTCGAAGATGGTCATCTGACTAATAGAGATGAAGAAAAAGCAGAGGCATTCAATGCTATTTTTTTCCTTAGTCTTTAATAATACTGATACACTTTGACCTGCCCAGTTCTCTGAATTGGAGGACCATGAGTGTGGGAATGGTGACTTTCCATTTGTGGACACTGAAATTGTAAGGGACCAGTTTCATCAGCTGAATGTTCACAAGTTCATGGGGCCTGATGGGATTCATCTGAGAGTACTGAAGGAGCTAGCGGATGTTATGGCAGGACTCCTCTCAATCATCTACTAAAAGTCTTGGGAGTCTGGGGAGGTCCCTGCTGACTGTTCATCCAATTTACAAGAAATGCATGAGGGAAAACCCAGGAAACTGCAGACCTGTTAGTCTAACCTCAGTTCCTGGAAAAATTATGAAGATTATATGGGGTACTGTTGAAAGGCATTTAAAGAATAATGCAATCATCAGGTACAGTCAACATGAGTTCACAAAAGGAGAGTCCTGTTCAACTAATTTGATGTCCTTCTATGATAAGATCACCTGCCTAGTAGATGAAGGGAAGGTGGTGGATGTAGTTTTTCTGGATTTTAGTAAGGCTTTTGATACTGTCCCTCACAGCATCCTTCTGGACAAGTTGTCCAATTGTCGGATGAGCAGGTTCATGGTGTGCTGGGTGAAGAACTGGCTGAATGGCAGAGCTCAAACTGTTGTAGTGACAAGGGTCACATCTGGCTGGTGACCAGTCACCAGTGCTGTTCCTCAAGGTTCAATTCTGGGGCCATTTATGTTCAATATATTTATCAATGACCTGCAGCTGAATGCACCAGTAGCAAGTTTGCTGGTGATACCAAACTGGGAGGTGCTGTTGACTCTCTTGAGGGACAGGAGGCCTTGCAGAGGGATTTAGGTAGATTGGAGTGTTGGGCAATGATTAATGGGATGAAATTTAAGAAGTCCAAATGCCAGATTCTGCACCTAGGACAAAGTAACACGGGGCACAAGTATAAACTGGGAGAGGAGTGGCCGGAGAGCAGCCCTGCAGAAAGGGATCTGGGGGGGCTAGTTGACTGAAGGCTCAATATGAGTCACAGTGTGCCCTGGCAGCCCAGAGGGCAAACCACATCCTGGAGTGCATCAAACACAACATGACCAGCCGGTCAAAAGAGGTGATTATCCCGCTGTAGCCAGTGTTGGTGTGGCCTCTCCTTAAGTACTGTGTGCAGTTGTGGGCCCCACAATTTAAGAAGGATGGGAAGGTCCTTGAATGCATCCAGAGGAGGGCAGCAAAGCTAGTGAAAGGGCTGGAAGCAATGTCCCATGAGGAGCAGCTAAAGACTCTGGGTTTGTCTAGTCTGGAGAAAAGGAGGCTGAGGAGCAACCTCATTGCTCCCTACAGCTTCCTGAGGAGGGGAAGCGGAGAGGGAGGTGCTGATCTCTTCTCCCTGGGATCCAGTGACAGGACACATGGGAATGATTCAAAGCTGCACCAGGGGAGGTTTAGACTGGACATTAGGAAACATTCCTTTACCGAGAGGGTGGTCAAGCAGTGGAACAGGCTTCCTAGAGAGGTGGTTGATGCCCCAAGCCTGTCAGTGTTTACGAGGCGTTGGGACAATGCTTTAGCTTTTGGTCAGCCCTGAATTGATCAGGCAGTTGGACTAGGTGATGGTTGTAGGTTCCTTCCAACTGAAATATTCTATTCTATTCTATTCTATTCTATTCTATTCTATTCTATTCTATTCTATTCTAAACAGTGCTATTATTTGGGAGAGAAAAGGTTAACACCTATGCAGATCTGCTCTTTGCATATTTGTTCTGAGAATGCACCTAACACACACGGGCTACTATCATGTAAAAAAAACGGAGTCGGAAGTGAAACTCTGCCATGTTGCATTTATACTAAGGTTATTAAAGGTAAGGCAAGGTTCATATAGGTAAACCATTTTCAACCACTGTGATTAAGCATATTAGCTTACTGAAAACATTTTAAAACAACCTAACAAATGCAGAATCTGCCATTTTTTTCAGAAGTTAACAGAAAAGATGGGGTCATGGGGTGGGGGGCTTGTGTTATTTCATCAGGAATGTCACAGCTTGGTGTCTTCTTGTGTCATTTTCACAGCACTTGGGCACAGTCTAATCCTGTGACCACTGCAAAGGGTGGTGAGCAGCCAGGCATCTTGGAGGAATACAGCAAGCAAAACTCACAAATCACTCATGTCTCCTTCTTGCCAGCCTTGCAATGTCACTGCTGTAAGAAAGAAGCTGTTCACAGGTCTGTCTCGGTTACAGAAATCAAAGCTGTAAGGCAGACGGGAAGGGACCTGTGTGCTCTATTCTCTCATCTTGTGCAACCATAACCAAACAGCACTACATCAGCACAGTACCTTTCACATCTGGCCGATACTGCATGCCATCGTCTTTCTTTCCAACTGCGTTTGTGTCATCTGTTTCTAGATGATAAATAAGTGCATGGATAGCTATTAGGAAAGGCTTATTTCCAGACCACTACATATATGTAATTGAGAAACCAGAATAATATTTGAAGAAGCATTTTAATTGCAGTAAAACTAGACACATTCCCACGTTGTTCCTCCCATACAACCAGGTTGGCAGCACACCTGGTCAGTCACAGAGTCAGTAACCCCAGCATCCAGCACCACCACACGGCACACCTCAAGCTGTAGGTTTTGAACTAGAAACTCTGCCATGGTATGGGCCTAGTTTATTTCGGTGGCGGTCTCTTTTGGTTTTGGAACTGTTCAAGTTACAGATCTAGATGGAATTGGCAAAAAGATGGTGGAAAGCTGTTATTCCCATGAGAAGGGGGAAAACTGAAGAGTCATGCACACAATTAACAACAAGGCAGTAGACAGAGGGTTTCAGAGGGCCATTGCAACACTGGAAAAGGAAATGGGTAAATATTTGTGCAATTGGGGCCCATCTTGACTCACCTTGGAAGTACATTGTGCAGCAAGTGGAAACGTTTCCTACAAACTGGTATTCCTTTTGCTGTCCTACTTCTTACCACCCCCTCATGTAAGACCTGTTGGGCTATTGCTTAGATTTTCCTAACAGCTTTTGCTGTCTTTCCAGGTAACAGCAGCCAAAGTAAGGTGATATAAACAAAGTAGGAATATATGTAGTCTAAACAGATCTCTGAGTGGGGAACTCTAAAATACAGGCGGGGAGTTCACTGGATCAGTGACTTCTGATCAAAAATGGAAAAGGGAAAGCTCTACTAAGCCCACTCATGTCAGAATTTACATTTATCAGAAAAACAAAATTAAGCCTACCTGAGCAGTGTCCAAGATGCCTGATGTCAATCTGCTCTTGCCTCAGACATGATGCTTCTCTAACAAAGCACGGATTGTTATAGGAACTTCCATCAGAAGCACATACAGGATTAAAACTGTATCCACTGCAGTCTATATTACATACACACCTGTTAATTGAAACATACAGCAAACCAAAATTGACATCCAGCAAACAAAAATTAAGTCATGTTGAGCCCAGAGTAAACACTAGCTTGTATGCCAGTACCAGGAGAGAAGAGCGTGTTGCATGAGGATGCTGAAGAATTCATTGATGTCTCAGGCTTCCAAGCAGAATATATACAAAATTATGAACAGGTGCTTCAGTGTGCTTTTTAATAATGTATTGATGTTTCTTGTACTTTTACTGTGATATCAATCTCATTGATTACAACCTGAAAATTGATAACACACTGCTAGGAAAATTTACTACATTGATAAAACAGTTTGTGGTGTCTGTTCTCAAATGTGAACAAAACCAGATGAATATTCTACTTTTTTGGGGGGTGTCAGGGTCCCTGAGAGGGAAACAAAAAGGACTCCCATTTATGTTAAACGATAAAAGGGGCTTTTCTATTTCAGAGGCTGTACAGAATCAATATGCTTGGTTAACTGTGTCATTTCAACAAGACATTCATTCACACCTTTAAAGTTAACAGTGGACTGATTATGTTGCATTTAAAACAGGATTATGCAATCGAAATTATTTCATATTGCACACAATTGACACTTTGGTTATTAAAAAAGATTGTAAAACAAAAGTGGGAAAAAATGAAGACCTAGCATGTAGCTGCTTCCTAACCACCCAAATTTAGGACAGCCAAAGACATAGATAGGGATACGACTTAATTGGTTTTGGTTAGATAGGTTTGTTACCCCACCAAAAAGTCCTGAAATTTTATATGTGTGAATGGCACAGGAAAACTTTGTGGCTTTCTACTTTTTAACTGAAACTCTATTTTTGAATGAAAGTTTATGTGTGTGTTTCACATTGCTCTGCAAGCTCCACTCTGCCTCTGGACTGGGAAAATTAAGGAGTATGGCTGCAGAATGGGGGTTGCAACGAGCACCTGGTCTAGCTCTCCATCGAGGTCCTTCTGATGACACAAGAGCCGAAATAGCCGCTCTGCAACTTGTGAGGAGGTGGCAGTGGACACGTGGTCCTGTCCTCACCAGAAAGCTCTACACAGTGGGCAGGCACATGGTCTGACTGCTAGGAGCTGCTGCTACCTTCATCTTGAGTCACTCTTGTAAGACATGGGGTGGGGAAAAAAGCCCAAGTTACCAACTTGCCACGTTTTTTATGGTCTTCCCAGCTGCTCCAGGTGCAATTAAATGATTAAATATATGTATGTGTGCCTCAAGTCAGTGACAAATCTCACAGTATAACCTAATTTCATGCTGCAGAAACACTGAAGATGGCCAGCATACGTTTCTCTCTCCCTCTTTTTCCATGAGTACTTTTTGTTACCTAAATTTAAAGATGCTAATTTTGCAAGTAATATTTCATGCCTGTGCAATTCAGATTGTTGCTAGACAAAAGAACATTTCTAGCGCAAACAGGTTTTTAAGTGCACCTACTGACAGTGAAAAACTGCCTCAGCAATGAGTCTCCACACATCTTGGGGACCTACCTTGAAGTACTCATAAAGCCACTAAATGTCAACATGAGGAATATATGATAACTGTTCTTACTAGAAATGGTAATGGTTGTAAACCTTAGACCCAAGAAAGGGTGGGAAGCATGTTTACATGCTCCCACATTATTTTAAGCCTAATGAAGGGTTTAATAGGATTTACTATATGCAAATAAAAGGCTCACAGCTCAGCAGTTGTACACATTTATTGACACAAACGAGTGGAGAGCTAGTCCTCATTTGCATGACACTGGCTATGTGCTTAGAGACACCTTTGCTCAGCCCTAGCTCTCAGGGATCACCACTGCCTGCATGCGCCCATCCTTGCCACGTTTGAAAACATTTGCATATGTATCTCCAGACTGATTCCATCTGTATTTCTGTGTCCAAACAGCTCTAATTCTATCTGTAGTCACCATCCAAGGTCTGCAGCATCATAATTACTGTTGTTTTCTGTCGTTCCTGGTGACAAATAATGTGACTTTTGAAAATAATTTTTTGTTCCTCATGGTGATGTTACAGGCTAGAGTTGAAAATGCTTGGAAACTGCTTATGTTTTCGTGCTGTACTGTGTTTAGATTTAACATCTCCTGTCAAATGCTTATTTTCTTAGCATTGCTAAATGCTTGTTCTGGGGGCAGACGTGAATTCCTGACCCTGTTTTTCTGATAAACACTCTCAGTCTTAAGCTCTAACCATCTCTCCAATGTACAAAATTTTCTTTATCTTTTAAAATTTACATCTAAAAGTAGGAAAATAATAAAAAAAACCCAACAAACACCACCCCCCATCCCCCCAAGCTACAAGAGCAGAGCTTGTGACGCATCCATAAGGGCTGGGGCAGTATGAAGCAGCTGAAGCCCACTGACCAGCTGCAATGGGATGGCAGCTGCTTTGTGTACTTGGAGCAGGACAGAGCTGGTCACTGCCAGGGGTGGGAGCAAGTCAAACACCCACCCGCTGCCAGTATGGATACTGGGAGCTGCTGGAGGCTTGCAAGCACACCAAATCCCCGGTGAGGCCGTGCTGGCAGAACAGACCCCCACCAGCTGGCAGACGGGCATGCTTTCCGCCCACAGGGGTGCAGGCTGCCGGCATACCAAATCTCTAGTGAGGCCCTCACCGGCCAGACAGACCCGGCCAGCCGGTGGGACACGTGCCTGCTCTCTCATCTCCAGGATCTGCCCCTGCTTCCAGGATCAGTGCCATCCTCCTTCCAGGCCCCCTTCTTCTGCCCAAGGTCACTGCCTTTCAGGACACCTCTTCTCTCCAGGCCCTCAGTTTCCCAGGCTCAGCAGTCTATCTGCAGAAGTGCACTGCGTGACTGGCTTCCTAGCTGCTGACTGTCTCATGGCTCTTCATCAACTGGAGGATCCAGGACATGACACTTGTTCAGCCCAGGCATTACCCAAAATGTACAACCAGTCCATGCTGGTTGCGGCTCAGGAGTTCAAAGGTTCAGTTTTGGAGGTTCAACCTCCCACATGCACCTGATTATCTGCCTGATGCTGTTAGCTACTTCTCCTACAACCATGATGCCAAACGGTATACCTGGCCTTCACCTGGCCATTCAGTTACCGGTGTAGGTGCTTTGACAGAGCTGTCTGGTGTGTAAAAGCAGCTGGTTTAAATACACTGTGAGATAATGAACTGCTGAACAGGACTGATGTACTTGAAAAAAATCGAGACTATTATGCTTCATAATTCCAAGCCTGAAATTGTTCAGAGGGCTGAAAGAGAACAAGTTAAGGTGAGGACAAGGCTGGGGCATGATGCTCTGAAGGGAGCAGGGGCTCCATGGATGCAGCAGGGTGGCAGCGAGGGAGCCAGGAGCACACGTTAGAAACCTGTACCCCTCCGAGAGTCTGGGGGGGGGCAGTGAAGTTGTCCTTACTCATAGCCAGTTGGCACTAGACCCAAAATACAGCCAGGCTTGCTGGAAGTGCCGAACTGTGAGATGGGAGCATTGAGATGTGGGGAGTGCTGCTCTCGGTAGAAAACATGAAACGAAAGTTGTTTTTAACTTCTTGGTGTTTGTGAAGGAAGGTAAAACCGTGGGAGAGCAAGTTGCTGCTCTGATGCTGCACATCAAACACATCAAAACTGGCAGCTGAGTCCCTGAAAGAGGACAGGACCACCACCACAGACTGAAACAAAAAAAGCAGCTCAGGCAAGTACTGGAAGATTTCCCAGAAGAACCCACTATGAAATACAGAAAATATGTTTCACCCTGACGTCAGAGAGCTACAAAGGGCAGACAATAGCTCAATACTGAGGACATGACAGGAAATCCAACCTCCCGAGGAAAGCCAACTTCTCCCAGCCAGTTGGAGTCCTAGAGCCAGGCAGAAGTCAAAGTTCAAGACAAACAAGCACAGCCCATGGGACTGCACCTATCCCACGGACCATACAGCAGCACACACAGTGTGGCAGAAGATGCAGCAGATGGGTTAATGAGCTAAAAGTGGGGCCCCAAAAGGCAGAAATCCTATCAGGGGCTCTGTTTTACAGGCAGGAGAACCTGTGTGAGGCATCACGGACTGTGGGCTTTGTTTTTCTTCACAGCTGACTGGAACTGGACACAATTAAAGTCTCATATTGCAATCTGCTCCCTGACAAGCCCCGCTTACGCTGGGGAAAGAGCATAAAGAGAGCAGAGGACAAAACAGAGAGCTGCTCAGGAAGAGAGGGCAGGAAAAACCTGAGATCATGAGGGTGGAGTGGGGGATATGTGGAAGGAGCACAAGAGGGGCACCCAGGTGAGAGAGAGTTGTAAAATTCCTCATATCCCGCCTTTAAGCACTTATTGTCACTTCTGCTTTGGCTCCCACCAGCACTGTGTCCACATACAGCAGTTTGAGAGCCATGCAGCTACCGACACTTTCCAGCACGACTTGGCCTGAACGAGCAGTGACGGGCAGCCCCGGCGCAAGGCTGGACCCCTCTGGCCACCAGCCCACTACAGGCACTAGCCTGAAAACTTAGCTTCAGGGGCAAAGTGATGCAAAGGTTTTGATCATATTTCTAAATTATCTTACCCAGCATAAAAGTATTAGGCTATACAATTAAGAGATATAATGTAATAATATGCAACAGCAGATGATTTTATAAAACAGGAAGCATTGGAAAGCCTATATCAGCAAGATTTAGGATTTCAATCCATATAAAAAAGGCATTTTAAACAGAATTTTCCACCTTACTTCTACTCACTTTAAAGATGTATTAAAACGCTATCCTGCTTTTGTTGAAACACCATCACAGCTTTGATTCTAGCTTTAAATATATTTAACACTGATTTTTATGTAACATTTTCATTCTATTCCTTATAGAAAAGAAGAGAAGCAAGATGCATTTTCATCCCTAATTACCAGTAGAAACAAAAATGAGGTGTGCTGTAAGCATGTGATTTCTGGTGTGAGCAGGTAGGTGCACACTGAAATTACAAAATGGCTGGTTTGTAATAAAAAAAAAAAAGAAAAAAAAAAAAAAAAAAA